GTTTCATCTTCTCTGTGAGATTGCGCTGCAACATCCTGTAAAGTGGTATCATTTTGGATGTCGACACTCTCTGTTCCTCTGACATTTCTGTCGTTGCTAGCTTGAAAGGTTGGAGGAGTGTTAAGCACTCAGTAATCACCTCATATTCCAGGCTTGTAAGAGGAACAGTGTCACTGTTCAGGTTGGCAAGTGCAGCAGCCGCTGGCTCACGTTGTTCATTTAGGCGTTGCAGCATGTCAGATGTGCTGTTCCATCTAGTCTCCACGTCTTGTGTGAGTTTCAGTGTTGGTCTGCCCATCAGTCCCTGCATCTCCACAAGTTTGTCTTTGCAGCTTGATCAGAATAATCCAACTACTTTCCTTGCCTTGTTGCAAATTTCATGAAGTACTGGTGTTTGATCACTGGCCCGCTTCACAATAAGATTTAGAGTGTGGGCAAAACGTGGAACATGGCGTAGGTTCAGGAGCTGGGCACTTAAGACTTTTTGCTGCATTATCAGTCACAAGGCGTTGAACCTTTGAGGTTATTCCCCACTCAGCCATGAGCACACTTTTCGCCTCCATTATATGCTGGGCTGTGTGGGACTGGTGGAACTTGGTGACTCCAAGTACCACAGTTGTCATCTTTGCTTCTTGTGTTATGTAATGGCAAGTAACTCCAAGGTACCCATCCATATGAATGGATGACCACATGTCAGCCGCAAGACTGACAAAATCAACCTTCTGTAGGTCAGCCTTGGCTTGCTCCTTGGCAGTGTTTGTACTTCTCACTGACCATTTCCTTCAGTGCCTTCCTAGAGGGGAGGATGTAGTTGGGGTCCATCTTTCTGACAAAGGCCCTGAAGCCTTCATTCTCCACAATAGTGAAGGGCTGTAGGTCCTTCACCACCGTATTCACCAAAGCTTCATCCAGCTCTCTCTGTCTGCCTTTAAAAAGATAATAAAACCTACTTGATAAAATTATTGAAACTGAGCAAATCTAGCTTGAAATAGTGCCTAGTGCTTTAGATTATTAGGCCAAATAGGCCATTATTTGTTAGCTGGATGTACAACAGCATAGGCCAAATACAATGAAAAAAATTAGCTCAGTTCTGCTCAGTGTGTGTCACAATTCAAAATAATTATGTTAACTACAATATCTATTATATAAAACACTAAAAACTACGGGGAAGTTACTGTTTGTTGCTTTTAACAGGTAGCCTATAAAACATTTTGATTCAATACAAGGCCCATTTTAGCCATCAGTTGTAGCCTATTGTATTATTCAAATATTTAAAGTGTTGTTGTCGTTGTGATTTGGACATTATATTGTAGATGCATTACCAGGTCAACATTTTTAAAACTGACAACTTTCTCAGTGAGGGATTTCATCTGAATTATCTTTCAAACAATGCATACCTTGTTTAGATGGCCCAGCAGCAGCAGGCCAGTGTACAGGGGGAATTTTACCACCCTCTAAAATGGTAGGATGAATACACCTCAAATGGCGTATCATGGAGGCTGTATTGTTGCAGTAGGCAAGTTGCCTATTACAAATCATACACCTCACTTTATTTGGGGTTTCCAAATATTAATGTTCCCACACCAGAGAACGGGATCTCTTGCGTGCATTCTCCATCTTAATCTACACTTATCTATCTAGCTACACACCTATCTAGTGTTAGCTATCTGTCTCTATCACTATCTCTCTATATGTCACTAAATTATCCTCGATATCGCTATAAATGTTACTATATCTGTCTCTTACTAGCCTATCAATTAATATGCTAATATCTGCCGAACTATCTCTGAAATCGCAATCACTATGTATGTCGCTATCTCTCAAAATCTTTCTCCTCTCACAAAAACCCACAAAGTTGGGATGTGTTTGCTTGACCTTTTAAGCATTCTGGGAGTTTCAAACATTGTGAATCAGTAGGTGCGTTCGAGATGACGGCGGCTGACTTTCGCCGACTTGATAGTCTAACGTGAACTGCAGGTGACATTCTACACATTCTACCTGCGTGAGCTTAGCTGAGATCAGTGATCTCGACCAGGCAAAAGTGTGGTTCCAAGTTGGTGCAGCCGGGGAAAAGCAACTGCGGCGCCTGCAGCTGCCTTGCTCCCGCGAGGTTTTAATGTCATGTGACATGGTGACGTTTTGAAGCACCAGCAAAAGTCGGACACAATTTCTAACCAGCATGCCATATTTTAAGTCCAGCATGCATCACGTTAAGTCAGCTCTGCGCAGCGCCGCGTGAAGTCAAACGCACCTATTGTGAAGCTGCAGGTGCGCCACCTGTCGAAACAGGGGTGAAACTTAAATAAGACTCGCTTCACCACTGTCATGTGACATTGATGTTTTGAACCACGCTTTGGAGCAGTGTTTCGAAATGTCTGTGCTTCGGAATCTCGACACAGCGTCGTCACGTCAGTATCGAGTCCCATCCCTATCTAAATACGCTATGGGTCCTCTTACATGGCCGTTGCCATGTTGCTCCACCATGTTTCTACAGTTAGAGCAACTAGCCCGAATGGATAAATGACTACAGAGCACGTTTTGTCACTTTGGTCAATGAAGAAGAAGAAGTGTTAGTAGTAGTTGTCTGGTTTATTAGAAGTAAGACAAGAAGAGACATTTGGACAAATGGAGAACCACACGTATTATTTAGCACAAGTAGGTTCTCCTAGGCGCTTAGAAAGGGAGGGGTGAGCACTGACTGCATTTATGTGGTGTCGGAATAATAATTTTTTTTCCCTCCTTAAATCTTGATTGCAAAAAGAGAAATAAAGTGTACAGTCTGAAAATGCTAATCCAGCACATCTTTATTGTAGCGTCTTTGTTGATTCCCGGTGTTGGGCAGTAACGCTGCTAAAAATGACTTGTGCACAAGCCTTCTTGTATGCCTATTGTTCTCTTTTTCCAAGTAATATTTTATTAAAACAACTTTCCATTTGGTTTTGTTGATTAAAATGCCACAGCTGAACCTTATTAACCTTGGAAGGATAAAAAGTCAACATTCAAAGCATATGGAATCAAGGCTAAGTAACAGGCGAGGGGAATCATCAGAGGCATTTATACCATATTATCATAATTTGAAATGGGTAATATGCCAGGAAAAAAGCATCTCTTCTTACTTGGTGGAATCTTTGATTCGCTATAAAAATCCAGTGAATCACATTATGCAAGTTATTTTTATTTTTAAGTGTCTGCTGTTGTGGCATAACCACATTCCTAATGGTTTGAGTATTTGCATTTTGGATCGTACTGCATGTGCCTTTTTAGTCTTTGGAGTATCCAGTATCTTTGTCTTTGTCCCTGTCATTGTCCTTTCCTGCCTGTATTTGACTTATTAAAGGAGCCCTGTGGAGTTTTCTTGTAAACAAACAAAACATTTTGTTTACAAGTTGTTTCTCACCAAAACACATTGGTTGATCCTTGAGGTCTAACAATTGTGTGAGTAAATCAAGTTTCACCAATGTTTACAAACTTTCTGTGTTACATGTAGCATGTCCAGACATATAAAAACACCGGCCAAAAGTTTGTTTCAAAACTCTGAGTGTGAAGAAATGAGATCCACAAATACAAGCGGGACTCACAAATGCCTGCTCGAAAGTTGTAAATGGTAGGAAGATAATAATTTATTTGTAAATGATTTAATATATTCACAGATATTTTTTAAATTTATTTGTGTATTTGCAGATCTGTTTTATATTTGCAAAATATTGTTGTGAGTTTAGAAATCTTCATTTTGTGTTCATTGTATTACACATTTACACACGGATCGCTCATTTGTTCACACAAATAATATTGAAACAAAATTAACTCCATATAAAGTTGTAAAAACTATGAATTTTTGGGGAAAGGCGCTACGAAACAGGAAGTTGTTGTAACTTCAGTGTACATGCTCATATCAGCACCAAACTTTACATGTTTGAAGAGTCCTGCTCTGAACACATCTACATGCTAATATTTGCTCATAGTCATAGCGCAACTGACTATTTATATGCTGTGATGAACAACCTATAACAGTTCGGCCATATCTTCAAAACTATCTCAGAAAATCCTTAACACATTGATGAAGTCATGTTTTGCCCTGAAACGTAACTTCACTGTACATACTCAAATATGTACCAAACTTTATGTGCTTGATTATGGTCCCGCCCCGAACACATCTACATGCCAAAATTCAGTTATAGTTGTAGCATCACCTACTGGCAACAAGAAGTAAACTCAATGTGACCCTTTTCATGCGATTTTAAATAAAATTTTCACGATGTGTTCTTCACTTGACATACCCAGGACATAAAGTATAGTTACCAAGTACTCCTCTAGCGCCACATAGGGGACAGTCCTTCGTGCAGTGTCCAAAGCACGTGTCAAATTCAGAGCCGCGTCGGCAGAGCTGTGTCACCTCTGGCACGGCCCGTGCTTCAGGTGTAAGGGCCCGCCTAATGCTGCTTGCAGCTTTAATTAGCATTCATCTTCTTTACTGCCTTTACTGACACATTAATGTGTTTTTGACATGCTGCCGCCACCTATTTATCACTGGAATAGTGTGAGACCATTAGCTGGAGTGTGTATCGCATCATGCAAATGCTTGTGCATACTCATACGTGCCTGTGTGTTCTTGTGCCATGCACGAGAACAATCAAAATGGAAACCCACTCAAGACACTGCTCCAAAGTGTTAATGCTCAAAACTCCACAGGGAACGTTTGTGCTAGAGGCCAGGGAGTCATCATATATAGAAATAGATATCAGAACAGTAGGATTCATCATCAGGGGAAGGTATCCACAACTTTATCTCTGAAAATCATTCCAAACTGATTGTCAATGAAACATTTTATGTAAATGTTGCACTAGACAGAAGAGATGCCTGCAGGTTACCAAAATCACCAGGAATTATTCTTACCTTTTAAAATCATAAATGTCCAAATAAAATTTTTGAGCAATCTGACAAAGGTTGTAGTTACGCAGGTATGGAGCACTTACTATGATAGTTTAATTTCTGTCTCTCAGGCCAGCAGCAGCTCTGATTCTCTGGATGGACCTTGTGTGGACTACGCCAAGAGCTACGATGCAGTCGTCTTCGATGTGCTGAAGGTGACTCCTGAGGAGTTTGCTGTGAGTATACTTCAGTTGTCACTCAACATTTGTGCAGTATAAAAGACAGATCAGGTCTTACCTGAAAGACCCAAGCATCCTACACTGCTCAAAAAAATGAAGGGAACACTTAATCATCACAGTAGAACATCAAGTCAGTTAAACTTGATCTTCCTCTTGATCTTCCTCTGTCCTGAGGCCCTCAATTCGAATAAGGAAAAAAAAAACCTCGAAAAAAAAACCCAAGCAAGAAGGGATCCCTCTCCCAGAATGAACGGACATTACACAGATGTCGTGTGTACAAATAGATTCACAACAGAAAGTCATTCATGACAATACACAATTCTGATCACAAAATGTACATTAAAACATAAGGGAAGAGGATGGATTCAATAGAGCAGCTTCAGGTGTCACCCACAGATGGGATCTGAGCCACACCACCATGGCGACCTGGACAGAGGACAGGCCACACAAACACAAAAGGATAGAGGATTTAGATAGAGGAAAACAACATTCACATAGAGAGAGAGCCATGAGAAAATGCAAACTAGAGAGAGAAGGGGAGAGGTGGAATCTCCTGGGGACAAAGATCCAGATCAGCGGCTGAATGAGGCACTGACAGCCAGGAGGTCCCACGATGGCCGACGGTCTGTTTACTGCATACAGAGTTCTCATCAACTCTGCTGGGCTGCAGAGCTTTTTCGCCTCCTTTTTAGCTCAGTGTTTTGGTTTTAGTTCAGATCTACTGTCCAAGGAGGCACTCTACAGGGTAAGGGGCACGATCGATTGAATTTGGCTGAGGGTAAAAGATGGCGTTCTGCACATTTACCTGAGGCAGGAGAATAGAAGACTGGAGAGTTGAGAGAAAGGACACTTAACTTTTTTTTTAGGTCCAGCTTTGCTACTTTTCTCTCTTTAGAGCAATTATTTCGTTATCTCCTCGTATAGTCAACAGCTATTTCAGTGATAATTTTACAGTATTTCATTCTGTGCTGACTTGATTTGGTTTGTCTTAAATGTTTGTGCTTCTACCATGGCTAAGTAGGCAACTTAAACAATTTCTTCACACTGGTTGTTGTGTTACCATGACATTAGAGATCTGACTTTAGTACAGAAGTCAGAGCTTTTATAAAATCAGGATTTAATGAGGATTAGAGGAACTGCAGTTTCAGCACTTAGCACAGGTTCCAGCTTTCCACTAAGATTGCTAGCATTTATAGAGAAACTCTATAACACTAACCTGCAGCCTCAGACATACAGCAGCCCATTCTATTCATTTATCATCGAAGCCCAGACGCAGATGTTTTAAGCAGTTATTCCTAATCCGTCATTTCCAGTTATGACTTATGGACCTATCCATGTATTCTTCCACCATCATAGTTTCAAAATGTCCATCAGATGTCGTATATACTGGATCCATGTATATACCATTGCATGTTGAAAGGTAATGTAGACTTCTTTCTTGTTATTTCAGAGCCAAATCACCCTGATGGATGCACCAGTCTTCAAAGCAATACAGCCAGAGGTAAGAGAGACCCATGTTGTCCAAGTGGTTTGTCTCCTGAGCATTATTTCCACTTATAACTTGGGAAATCTTCCAACTTCACATTTTATTCTTGTTGGAAAAAAAGGCAGAATTCCCGCTGTGGTGTAACCCATTAAATGAACTGTTCTTAAAATGAACTTAAGGGAACAGTAATAAAAGTGTTTACTAATCTTATTAATAATCTGTTAATGGGCCCTAGGATAATTGTGAGTGTTTTGCAGGGAACCCCTCAGAGATCTACCCCTCCCCTCAGAATAGTTGCAGTTCCCTTTCTGTTTCAAATACGTCTATTGCTGCCATGCCTCTCCACTGGAAACCTTTCTTATCCTCTGTTAGTCAATGAAATTCCAGTCTTCTCTACCCTGAAGGATTTCCTTCCATCCACATGCTTTACACAGATGTATGCAGTGAAGAGGACCAGGCAGAGATGGTCGATTAATTAGGGACTCATAATTAGAAATTCATTCAAGATGAAGCCCGTGGTGTGTGTGGTTCAGTTCAGTTTTTCCAGATGTCAGCAATTACAGCTACATAGCCATGAACTTTATTTTTCCTGAATAGAATACCTGTCAGTGGTGAGCAACACTTAATCTAGGGCAAGTTATCTCAACCCATACTCCAGGAGCTCAGTAGGAGGACTAAGAGTCTGGAATCAGGAAACTGGAACTGATAGTATAAATGTTTTCTTTGATGTTTACTTCAAACTACGCATTTTAACATCATTTTAAAAAAAAGTTTTATTATTGATGATGCCCAAAAAGCATAAAGACTGCTATAGTTAATATAGTTATATATAGTTTAAAAATAATAATTTATTGATTTATTTGATAAAAATTATTATTTGATTACTTCCTGTACCTAGCTATTTGGCACTCGATTAGTGTGATGAAGGGTCATAGCATCATGTATTAGTCTTTCATCAAGACATCAGGGCACTGATTGTTGGTTATTCTAGTTAATTTTCCACCTTATTTCAGTGTTTAGTCGCTACTTGTATCTGCGCTCTCTCTCTCTCTCTCTCTCAGCATGGGATATTAAAAAACATGCTTTTCAACTTGACCGTTTTATCTAAATTTCTCTGGTTTATCTCATAAATGCTGGAAGTGAACTTCCCTGTGTGTGTGTTAGTGGTCAGTCCATGGCTAAACCTCTCAACAGCTATTAAGCCTCGCAAACCTCTTTATACACACACACACACACACACACACACACACACAGGTACACACACAGGTACACATCTAGTTTCTCACTGCAAAACTGCAGCTATCTCGCCTCTTCCTGTCTCTCTCTCCCTGTACATGTCTCTGCTCACTTTGTGCTTCAGCAGTACTTTCATAAAGTCGTCGCATTTAATAAACTCACCCGCGATTTTTGTTTTCACCGCAGCAGGTGCGCCCGATGATCTAAAACAACGTTTTACTGAGTGTCATCTGCAGTGGTGCGTTCACTGTCTCTCTGTAATGTGAAATTTCCTCCGTGTCTTGTGCCATAATACCAGATAACATCTCTTTCTGTGTTTCTTTGCAAAATTCTAAAATGACTTGGCAAATATAGTTAGGCAGCTGTTAAAATACCTAGGTAAAGTAAATGTGGAGAACACTATATTTATTTTGTAAATATTACACCTGAAACCTACTTTGTCTTCCAAGTGCATGTGTCACGTGACTGTTTTAGTACAATCATGACTGAGTGATCATGCCTGTAGGTCAGACTACTTTAATTAACCTAAGATGGAAAATAATAAGAATGACAATAATAATGTCCCTCCCCCACAAAATATGAGTTGAAATAAATCGAGGTCTGAATCGAACCGTAGATTTGGTGAATTGTTATACCCTTACCTGTCAGAGGGCTTCTGTGGACCCTTGTTGAAGATATACCAACCACCCCATGCAGTGGGCGCAGGGAACCCCCAATACAATGTAAAATGTTTTGTTTTTCTGCCGAACAGTGCTGCAGTGTACAGGCAGTATCTGAACATTATATCGATAAATTACATCACCCTTGTTCTCACAAGTAAACAGATCAGAACAGTCATGGGAACATGGGATTGATCCAAATGAAAGTAATCTTGTATATGATGAAATTTGGATTTCTGGGGGTTTTCCTGTCAGTGCAGGATGTTCCTTTGTTAATGCCTTTATTTAGACCTGTCAAACTGGATCAAATCCTAGAAGGAATGGAAAAAATCATTGTAATTTAAATTGGCACAAAGTAAAAGGCAAGGGAATTTTCAGTGGAAGGGCCGCTGTTTATCCCTGCTGTTTTATTTATTAGTCTGTCTCTAGTTTGTCTCTGAGAAAAGAACAGTACCAATGTCACTTAAGATAGTGGACAGACCATGAGATCATGTCCACATCCATTCTAATGATTCCTTTTAAACATTTTAGCTATTCTAGTGGCATGGCTCTATGGATGGCAATGTCTGTTGATCGGTCTATTGCTTTGGTCCAGACTGGAATATCTCAACAATTTTCTGAAGGTTTGCCATAAAATCTAAACAGACATGAAATTTTAGACATATATTCATGTCCCTCTCAGGATGAATTGTAATATCATTGGTGAGTTTTTGTTTGGCGCCATCATCAGGTGACAACTTTATTTTGATTAGGACCATATACTTGCAAACAAATGTCATTCTCATAATCCTCAGCTGTTTTTCTCAGCTTTGTGTTTAGTGCTAATTAGCAAATGTTGGCATGCAAACACGGTAGATTAAGATGGTGAACTTTGTAAACAGTATACCTGCTTCATATGACCATGTTAGCGTGCTGATGTTAGCATGTTAGCAAAGCATTGCTGTTCTTAAACACAGCCTCAAAGAGCTGCTAGACTGGTTTGGACTCTTGGTCTTTCTCTTCTTTCCTTTCCTGCACTATTAATTTGACTATGATATTAGAAAATAATACACGTGATATATTTTTGTATTGTCTTTAGTGTTTTGATTTTCTCATTGGCAGGAGCTGGCCAGCTGTGGATGGAATGGGAAAGAGAAACACAGTTTGGCCCCCAATGTGGTCGCATTCACACGCAGGTTCAACCAGGTATGTCCTTGCAGAATTTCTAAGGCAAGCTATTATGTCTACATCTCAAATAATTACTCAATAATAATAAATAATAATAAAATAATAAAGGCAAGTGAAATACTGTTCACTTTTGCTTACTGTTTTAATAATGTAAAACCTTTCGGTTTGTTGAAATATTATTGAGTATAAAGAATTTTGGTCTTAAAGCTGCTCCAGTGAGCCAATATCAGCGGATTGGTCACAACCTAAAAAAAAAAACAATTAATTAGTGGATGCTATTTCTGTTAGGCGCCAAATCACAGTTATCTTGTAGCGCTTTTTCATTAGCGCATAATACAAATCCTTCCTACCCATAGAACGAATTAGAATAGAACTCAAATTATAGTTATAAATAGGCAGCTGCAATATTGCAGACTGTTCCTTTAAAAAGTCTGTGTGTATTATTAAAGGGGACCTATTATGTCCAAAGTTTCAAATGAGGTCAATGTATGTAAAATTAATCACTGTTAGCAAAAAGATCAGAATGCTCTGAATACTACATTTCCAACATTTTTTTCTACTTTAGTGCCTAGGTGATGTCCGATCGGCACAGATTTACATTATATTTATTAATTTATGTATAAATAAATGACTTTTTATCCAAAGCGACTTACAATTGCTATATGTCAGAGGTCGCACGGCTCTGGAGTGGCAGTGGGGAGTTGGCATGAGTCTTATCTGTTGCGCCATCACCACCCCAGATGTCCTTATATCTGTATCTCCTTATTTTGTTTTAAAGGGCTTTCAACCTTCAAAACTTTGAGTTGTTGATAGCATAATGTTGAGCTCTATGTCTCTTTTATTCTTAACTGGTAATAAATTGTATTTTGTTCCTTAAATTGGTATTAAAGCAATAGTGTATGAGTTAAGGGAGGAAAAGAGTAAAATCTATCAAATCCTCAGGAAGACAGAAGGGAGTCTTTAGTTTTTCCCTCCTTGATACATATGTAAGACATATTAAATGAAGATATCAAAATAATCAATAAAATCTTTCTTCCAAGACCTAGTGCCGACATTACCCACAATGCATCCGGACCGATGATAGCTGGGTCAGATTGGTGTGTGTTATGCTAGTAGCGGCTAATGTAGCAGAGCAGGCTAAAGAGGTCTGGTATATTACTACTCTTTAACTGTACACCTCCTTATTGTGTCCTTTTCAAACTTGTAGTCTTGAGCCCCAACCAGTGTAAGAGCGAGTTACTCAGAAATTGAAATAAGTTACTAGTAATAATATTACTTTACTTATTACGGGATGATAAAAGTAACTAGTTATGTTACTCGTAATATTACTATATTACTTTCACTGCTACTATACTACTTTCACATCGGAGTATGTAAACAGGGTCATTTTGATAGAATCCAGCACGACCCATACTAAGGACTGAAATTCATGATATCTCAGCCTCTGCTGCTTTGCATTTTGAATTTTTTTTAAATCTGCCTCTAGAAGTCCCCATCTTTGATAAAGTGCAGTACTAAATCAATGGAGTTATTGTTACATACACACACCCAGACTTGTGTGTGTGTTATGTTTTTGTATGTTTTTATTTTTCAGGTGAGCTTTTGGCTGGTGAGAGAAATCTTAACTGCCCAGACACTGAAAATCCGAGCAGAAATACTGAGCCACTTTGTCAAAATAGCAAAGGTGAGTTCAAGTTACTGGATAAATGCTAAAGTCTTATTAACACTATGAGACACATTTAATGTTTTAGTTATTTGCAAGTTGTCCTTGCCCAGATCCCACTGTTTGTTAACTTCTTCTTGTTTGTTCAGTGTGTTTTCAGATTGATATTGAGCATTGTTCTCTGACATGTATTATCATACTATCCATTAATCAGTTAGTTGTAGTCAGAGATGCAAATATCGTGATTTCCTGCAGTTGATTTTGTACTTTTTTGTAACAAAAAGTAACAATTCTAACTTGATTTAATTGACAGTCTTTTTGTGTTCTTGAAACATTTTGTTACTATTCTAAACTATGTGTTTTCAGAGGACAAAAACCTGTTGATTGCCTGATTGCATGAAGTACAATAGGCTCGGTGTGCTGTTTGGCAAGATTTTCAGTGTTATTAGGAAATCTGTCGTCAGACATGGAGATGTGTTCAGAAATCTAACCCAGCAGCTGTTGAACAGTTAGTTTTTTAGTGAAGATTTTTATTCCATAAGTATCTGCCAGTTGCTTGTAAAGCAATTGTAGCATAAAATCCAATATAGTCTGTGAAGCTGCAGCATACAGGAGCTACCCAGGTACTTTTACACAATAAGAGGCGTGATAGAGAAAGCAGACATGCTGATGGCAGGAACAAAATGGTGTGTCTCCTCTTGTGGTCTGATCAGGGAATAGTAGCAGGAGTTTTTCCCAGAGGTCAGTGTGTGGGATGGAAAGGAAACATGGAACCATGACATAATCTTTTTGTCAAACTGCAATGATATTGACTTTTGAAATAAAACTACTGAAGCACGCTATGTGCCTGATGGTAACTATTCACAAACCCAGAATGTGTCATCATGAGGAATCACTCTGCAATTATGGATTAGAACTTCAGCTATACTGAGGTGTGGAAAGAGTCATTGAAATCAGACGTACATATACTGGAGGATGTGTCCTGATTTGTACAATAAGGAAAGAAATATGAGATTATTTCAAAAGTATTCATTATGGTAATTAAGTATACACTCAACTCAATGCATTTAGGCATGTAGACGTGGTCAAGACAACTTGCAGAAGTTTAAACCGAGCATCAGAATGGGGAAGAAAGGAGATTTAAATGACTTTGAATGTGAAACTGAGGCTACGTTTCACACAGGCTCACCAACGCTGGACAATAGAAGATTGGAAGAACGTTGCCTGGTCTGAGGAGTCTTGATTTCAGCTGCGACATTCAGATGGTAGGGTCAGAGTTTGGCGTGAACAACATGGAAGCATGGATCCATCCTGCCTTGTATCAACGGTTCAGGCTGCTGCTGGTGGGGTAATGGTGCGGGGGATATTTTCTAGGCACACTTTCATGTCCATCCCTTTCTGAACACAGTGTATCATCTGCTGACGGCTACTTCCAGCAGGATAATGCACGACGTCACAAAGCTCAGATCATCTCAAACTGGTTTCTTGAACATGAGTTCACTGTACTCCAGCGGCCTCCACAGTCACCAGATCTCAATCCAAGTGAGCCCCTTTGGGGTGTGGTGGGACGGGAGATTCTCATCATGGATGTGCAGCCGACACATCTGCAGCAACTGCGTGATGCTATCATGTCAATATGGACCAAAGTGTCTGAGGAATGTTTCCAACACCTTGTTGAGAGTATGCCACCAAGAATCAAGGCAGAAGGGGGTCCAACCCGGTTCTAGCTAGGTGTACCGAATAAAGTGGCCAGTGAGTGTATTTACTTGAAGCAAGTGTATTTAGTAATGGATTCTGTTACAAAGATACAGTATATCCACTAACACACAGCACTTATTAGTGGAATACATTTGTTGTTGGTTTGGGTCTGCACATGGGATTTGTTGACAAGAAAAAAATACAGAGTAATGCCAGTTTTATGCTTTAAAGGTTCAGTGTGTAATATTTAAGAGGATTTATTTACAGAAATGCAATATAAGATCCATAACTATGTTTTCAGTGGCATATAAAGACCTTACATAATGAACCATTATGTTTTTATTACCTTAGAATGAGACATTTCTATCTACATACACCGCGGGTCTTCTTATTCCTCCTCACCATGTTGCGATGCCATGTTTCTACAGTAGCCCAAATAGACAAATTGCTCTACAGTTGTGACTATGTTGAATACGTATGAAAAACAAGCAGAAGCTGTAGTAGTAGTCATCTGGTTCATAAGAAGTAAGAAATGAAATTTTACAAATTTGGACCACACGTATTGTTTAGCAAGAGCCAACAGAGCGTGTCGGCCACCGTAGATTCTCCCCTGAGTTTGTAAAGGGAGGGGTGAGCTGTTACTGATTGTGCATTCATGTGCTGTTGGAATAATCAGAATTTGTTTTTCCTCCTTAAATCTTTATTTCAAAAAGAGGAATAAAGTGTACATGGGACACAAAGAAGTATACAGAACGGTATACAAATATATAAGAAGACAGAAATAGTCTATTATATAAAGATATTAAAAGAGGACCATAACCTGATTCAAACTGAGGATGTTGCGATTCGGTCAACATCTTAACCCCTAGGTCATAGATGCGCCTTGCCCATTGTTTTTAATTGAAATCCGAAGGAATTACAAGTGCATTATTCACAGTTCAAACAGAGTGTGAAGTTATTAACCTATGGTAATATAGTACATTCCGTGTTAAAAATAAAATATAATTGCCAAAAAATAATAAAATATCTGTGTTTGTTCCCAGAAACTGTTGGAGTTGAACAATCTTCATTCTCTGGTGTCGGTGGTGTCTGCCCTGCAGAGCGCCCCCATCTTCAGACTCAGCAAAACCTGGGCGGTATGACATCAGTTTCATTCACTGCTTCTATTTGCATCAGCAAACCATCAATATCTGTTACTGGCTGCTCCTAACTAATTGCCCTAATGAACATTATTTGAACTTGAACCTGAATTATAATGACTACATTTCTTACTTTTCTACAGTGATACTAATTGAAAGTGCAGTGTATTTAAAAAAGAGAAAGTCTCGGGGACAGATTTGTATGCAGTATGTTCAGTGGTTCTTCAGATCAAGTGTGTGGATTTTGAACAGTGGGTGGGGCATGACTGCCCTTGCCCAAACATACAACACACGCACAAACACAGACTGTTGTTGCAGTTTGTTAATAACTAACATTTGAAACTAACCAAACAGCTGAAACCTAACCTGAAAACTGATTCTTTGTTAGGATCCATTGTGCTCCGCTCAGGTAACCTGACCTTAAACCACAGACCTATACTAGACCTGACTTTTCTGAGCAAGATTCAAGCAAAATGTTTTTTTTGAATTATTTCTTTGTTTAAACTTTCCAGACTTGTATATAATATTAGAATGATCATGGATTCCAAAAGCTCCCTGTTTGCTCTCCGAGACCTCAGTGTTTAGTTTATCATCATATTCTACTGGACAGATCTGAAAACTGTGCTGGAGGTTTTAGTGGGATCAGATCTTAAAATAGAAAATAGAGATAGCAAATGGTGCTTGGCTGTCCACTCAAAATCTTGTTTTACTATCACAGATAGTAAAACAAGATTCATCATCATTCAAACACCCATTCTGGGTGTGATTAGTTACACATCACCTGTTTATGAGTAATCAATTTCTCTTCCCCTCCAACACGGTGCAAACTGTTTGGTCCTGGTTTTAATATTTGGACGTGAATCCTTATTTTACAGTGCTGGATATAAGACCATGAAAAGTGGGTGCATCAGCGCCAGACACGAGGAGAAATACTCTGTATGTTTAGTACAGAGGGAAACTGTATCAGCAAAAAGCAGGAAAGCTTTTAAAATCTCATATTACAGATTTAGCAAGAAGAGAGGTTGCAGGGTTGCCAACTTAAATCAACTATGTGGAGACATCTGAATATGTAGTTTTCAGAGCCTTCTGACTTTTCTGATTCAAAACTATTAAGCTGATTCACTTGGATTATTGATTTCTAAAAAATTAAAGTAGAACTATATTCCACTAGTGCAGAAACTAAAAAATATTTTCATTTTGGATTATCCTGCCAGTTTGTTGCTTGATAAAATGATTGTTTACAGAAAACAGTTAAACTTGCCCGTCAGAATTTCTAAGTGCCAAAGATGTCTCCGCATTTCTTGTTTTGTCTTGGCAACACTTCAAAACCCCAAAATATTCCATGTATTATTTTATAAGACCAATACGTTTTTACCTAAATCAATTATCGTAATAGTTGCTGATTAATTCTCTCATACTAGATTGACCGACCAATTTTTTGAGAGCTAAATCCATCAATCAGCTGTGGGTGTCTTAGTCAGTGGTATTGTACAAGTGTCTTATTTAGTCAGCAATACACATTATTTACAGTGCTCCTGGGAGTCTCTTTTAGGTGGTCTGGGATGTTTTTTTGCAATGTTTGACCAAATCCACATGTTTCTGGCTGACACGACACACTAATGTACGGCGCATACTGTCATACAGTATTCATATGGTGCCTTGTAAACAGAGGGGCAGTACTAACCCATCACACATTTTGTTGATTTAATTTTTAGAATTCTTGTATACATGTATGTGTACTATATGTATCTGCATACCTGTGTATATTCTTTTATCTGTACAAACCTACCTGTTCATATCGGGTTCTCACTACATACATTTACTACATTACTGCACAGCATCAGTCTACCTCAGTACTAAAATATTGTACTTAAGTAAAAGTACTGTTACATTAATGAACTTGAGTAGATTTTTACACCACTAACTTTACTTCACTTTTTAAAATTTTCTCAGAGTAAACGTTACCTAGTTACTTTTTTAATATGTTATTTATACTTAGCCTGTTTAATTGAATAGCAGTCTTTGATTTGATTTGATTTGTCTTTGATTTGATTTGATAAAGGCAAAAAACCATATTGCACTTTTGATTTTAGTTCGTTTTACAGATACTTTGCCAAAGCAATGGTGAAAAACAATTTTTGGGAATGTTTCTGCTTCATTATGAGACTATGGCAGGCCACACTGGACTGGGAAAATGGGAAACACAGGACTGTATTTAAAGTCATATCCCTACATTCAAACAGGTGGTTCTTGTAATGGGGTATCATAAGTGTTAGCATAATTAATTTTTAATTAACATAGGCCTAAAATTAACTAGTTACCAGCCGGTTGCTAGTGCCAACCAACATTAGCAATGTCATGCACTTTTTATAGTTACTAAACTGTGAACTACGATTTAAAATGTAGCGAAGCACAATACTTCACACAAAACATACTTAAGTAAAAGTAAAATTACAGATTATGAAAACAACTTAAAGTGCAAGTACACAAAAAAACTACTCAATTACAGTAACACAAGTAATTATAATTACTTTCCACCTCTGTATATGAGAACAAGAAGAACTTAACTTATAAAGGGAGAACACCACTGAGATATGTTGGCAGAGAAATTATTGTTTAATATATTCCATTATGAATGATCCTTTAGCTCCAACAGTCAGATCTTTAACAGTGTATTTTTATGGGTTTTGTGTGTCTGCCATAGTTCCTGAATGAAGGAGGAGGAGGAGAACTCTAATTTGTGTCATTTTTCTTCTGATGTAGTTGATCAGTCGGAAAGACAAGGCCACATTTGAGAAGCTCAACTATCTGACATCCAAGGAAGAGAACTACACCTGCATGAGAGAATACATCCGCTCCCTGAAGATGGTGCCCTGTATTCCTTACCTTGGTAAGTCCTCCATCCACTCACCCTGATCCTTTTAAAGTCGGTGGTTTCCAAGCCCCTCAACATCTCACCTGACTAGTCTGAATTCTAGTCATTCAGATAGGGGCTTCATCAAAAACACCATGTACAGCGGCTGTGGCTCAGGAGGTAGAGCGGGTATGAATGTGTACGACTGGTAAATGCAGATGTAGTGTAAAAGCGCTTTGAGTGGTCGAAAAGACTAGAAAGGCGCTATACAAGTACGGAGCATTTACATTTACATGCCATATCAAAATACAAGCAGCATATATATCCTTTGTAAGGATTTACACACTTCTGCACCACATTCCAGGTGTGCTTCTACAGAGCACCATTACAGAGATGTCCATCTTATTTCAGTTCAAAACATGTAAAAACCTGGCTTATTTAGCTGCACGGACCATCATACAAGTCCAGGTGGTGTTTAAAGCATTTCTCTTTCTGTTAATTGTACTGCATCATGAAACACGTGTAAATATCACATTTATAATAATGCACAACACATGGACCACTGATCAAAAAAGGCTTTTAACATGTTGTCAGTACATTTGGGTCATGATTGTCCAGTTGTGACGTAATATACAGGGCACTCAATAGGTTTGTTTTTCGAACAGAGATATTAAAATGAAAATTCATATAATTTACAGTCATAATTTTCCCAACTACACCAGTTTTTTTTCCTTCTCACAGGGCTTACTGGCAAGTCTGTGGAAGGTTGTCTTGACCTTCAAAAACCATAGTCAGATGAGAAGTACATTTTATACATACAATTTACTAATAGCTTTAGTTAGGGGTTAAGTGTCTTCAGGGTGTCATTCCTCCTCTGCAAAAAGCAAGAATGAAACATAGTGCCTCTGGGACCATAGTGCAATACACAAAAACAGAACAAAAAACATACAAACAAGCATAGTACAATACTTTCTACATACTTGGAAACTATATTTAGGGTAAATGTGGCAGCCTGTAGAAAGAAATCTGTTTTTGAATCTGGTGGTTCTGGACACCGTGGTGTGTAAAAGCCTTCGATGGCAGGGAAAGTGGTCCCAGTGATGTGCTGGGCTGTTCCCATGCCAAACAATGATGCAGCAAGTCAGTGCGGACTCTACGGTCTCTATATGACTCTCTATGGTACATCTGTAGAACCTGGAGAGGTAGGAGGTGTGATGAGTTTTTCACAGATGCTATAGTGTTCCAAGATTTAGTGGAACTATTACAGGCAGAGAGATCTGACTGATAATGTTGTTTAGCCTTCCTAGTCATGCTGGTGCAGATCATTAGAAACACAAGCAGGGATGTACATCGTTTATTGCAAGAATAATAACATACAGATGTAGTGGATCAATGTGGATGCTGATGAACACACAACTTGGAAACAGCAGCAGTTTTCCACATTCTCCACCAAAATATGTAGTAAATATGTAGGGAAACTACATGTCGAAATGTGAAATATAGTCAGAATGGTCACGCAGAACCATTTGAACTATTTGTCCAGCGATATAACTTCAGAGTCTGCAAAATAACACCAGTAAGCCGTTTCTCTTGCTGGTCAGTCAAGAGATAACACACAACTTGGCTTTGAGAGGCAGTTAACCTGAACTCAAGTAGTAAGAGGTAAAATAAGGAATGGATGCGAAAGTGAGTGAAAGTAAGTTACAGAAAACAAAGGGCAACCACTTTGGATGTAAAACATTTATTACTCACACAGCTAAGGCACAGATGAATGGATAAATGCAACCATGATTAAATGTTATGAATACAGCGATGAACAATTAATGTCTGAATCAGGACCATATTGTACTTAATAGCACAGTCATTTATTAACTTGGCAAGATGTATTCATTTGTGGAAACACAAGAGTGAGTTTAATATTGACAAGTGAAATCACTAATGCACCATTCATGGTTATTTGGAGGCAGAGTGAAATACATGATATGATTTCATTCATCATGAATATATATTGAAGGGAGAGCCTACTCCTGACCTAACGCTCGATTTATTTTAGTAATCTCTAGCTGGAAGGGAGGAGGGAGGCACAGTGGAGTTTCCTGTGTGGGCGGCTTGGACATTCTCGGTCCCATTTTGCAGCTTGGCCAGCTGTTACATTTCTCTCTTGAACTCCCAGGAGGTCTGGCATGTTCGGGCATTGTCTACGTGGCGACTTGGAGGCACACACAGAAGAGGAAAGAGTGCTTGGCTACCTCTCGCTTTGTAGTCCAGGGGTGTCTGACGTCATTGGCTCAAAACTTTACCACTCCTACCTACACTGTTCCATGCTTACTTCTTGCTCGAATATCTTTCTAAAGAATTAATAGTTTAATTCTCCAATGTTTAAAACATTGGCCTACTCAGTTGCTGAAAGATATAAAACACCTCACATATCCAGTAAAACAGTTTTACACAGGCTCACATCTGATATTTTTGCAATACACATACTTATGTACATATGTCTATATATGCATACATATACCTATAATACAACTGAAATAATAAAATTAAATGAGTACATGTCAGTATTTCTGTCCCCCTGAGAGGGATGAGGAGAGAAGGGCAGCTCCAACTTAAAAAAAAAAATCTTTTATGGACTGGTGGCTCTGTGTACCATTCCTTTTGATTCAGTTTTTATTGTTCCTGTGTCAGAATCAGCATGTTAAAATCAAACTTTCTTTCTATATTGTTAATTAAACATAACCATTAATGTAGGTCGATTTTGGATTTCAGAATCAATTCTTTTGTCCCTTATTGCTGGTATGGGTTATTGATGAAGTCCAGAAATCATCCTGAGGGTGTGTGTGTTAGTGAGTGTTTGATATTGTCTCCCTATTACTTAACTTGTATTAGCGTCCTCTGTGAGTCCTTACGGAGTTTGTTTGTTGTTAATTATTTTATCAATAAAACATATAAAATCTACATAGCGACTCTGGCTCAGTGTCTTGCTCAAATGTCCTTGGGCAAGTTACTGAACCCTACATTGCTCCCAAAGCCTGTGCATTGGTGTGTGAGAATGTGTGTTTGGGATTGGCACCTTGCACAAATACAGTCCGTTTACCTTGAACCAATCAGCCTCAGCATCCACGTTGATCCATTACAAGACAATAAAAATAATCTTAATGAAACAACATATATATACACAGAGTACTTGGTACATACTGTATCTGCACACTAATACAGTGATATTTTAAACAGACCTGTAAACCTTAGGTAGAGGGAATAACTAAGTTGTACTGTTTATTTTATGCACTGTAGCTGCTTTTACCTGGAAAACCTGCAACTAAATTGTATTTGCACATTTTATTGTTATAAATTGTCTATTTGAAAGTTTTAATCTTCAGTACCAAAACAATCATTTTTCAAAAACCGAGGTCCCACCAATGGTTGATCAGGGGGGAAGATCATCTCAAAGGGACTGTTTTTGCACCATAAGTGGATGCAATGTGGATTTTATTTTTTACATAACAAATAAATTCTATTGCACATTTTGTGTTGTATTTATTGAAGTTTCTTGTTGTATATCAACAAAATTAACAAATCAACAGAAGCCCCCATGGATCAGGAGACAGAGATTACATCCACTTAATGTATGTTATGCTTTTGTTGATTTTGAGTGCAATCTTGTTTTATGAAATAAAAAAAAAAGCTACATTGGGAATAGAGAACCAACAGAAAAGTTCAGATTAAAGAGAAATGGAATCCCTTTGGTGGAAATGTTTTTCCGGTAATATTTGTTGAGTTTGGAATGACTGAAGTGTTAATGGAAGGTGTTTGCACTGGGTCGTATCATCATGGTCACTTTCTTCAGAGAATAAGCTCCTCCTCTAAACTCGGCCCAGTAGACGCCGTCTTGGTAACGGCTGCGGTAATGCCCACCACGGTACCACACCCCGTTTAGGTTGGAGTGAGCACAGGCATTATACCACCATCCTCCCTTCTGGTAGTGGGCACAGTTACCTGGAGACATGAAGAATCAAATCAGACCAACTACTATAGCCTACTAGCAATCTGGTCTTCTGCTGGTTAGGGTTAGGATTGATCCTCAGTGACCCCAACAGTGTAACGACCCTGCTGTATTCATCAAATTCTGCATTATTTACTAGAACAGTAAAGCTTTCATATTGCTTTGTGGGCCAACCCACCTGCGAGTGTGTATGCACTTTCTGTAACATTGAATGTGTACATGCTTGCGCAAATCACGCTCTTGGCCAAGTGGGAGTTGTCATTGCTGTACGACACCACAGTGGGTGCTGTGGACAAACCTACAGCAGCACATGAGCACACGAGCGCTGGAGAATAAGAAAGCAGGGAAAGCCACACGTGACATTTTCTTTTGATAAAACTTTTACCATCGTTGTTGTTCGTGTGGTTTTCTACTTGCTGTCTTGTTCTTTGTGTCTATAAATATGGTGGTTATATCGTTACTGGTGTGTCTTGGATACGGTGAATATGGAAGTGATTGGGCCAGGGCTTGCATTGGCCAAAGATCTACATGCAGTCAGAGTGGCCGCATATGTTTCAAATGTCAAGAAGCAAGCGCCGGATCCCAGGTTGTGCTTGTTTGTGGAGCCCAACGCAAGAAGCATCCAATGGGCCTTTCCTCATTAATGCAATACTTGTGTAATATGAATCCTACTACAGAGTTGAGCTCACTATTGTTACCGTTTTATTTTCTCTAATCAGACATCAACACCGGCAGGAACCTATCATCTTCTCCACTCAGATTTGCAGGGTTTTTTTGCATGCACTCTGAATGACAAGTAATGATGAGTGTTGCAGTTCTTCAATCATGTTTTCCAATACTAGATTTATAATATTGGGGCTTTCGCAGAGTTTCTAACTCAAGTCAGCCAAATGTGTTTTAATAAGTCAAGGAGCAGAAGTTATCCATATTCAGACTCACGGGTTTGCTTAGTTAATTTATGGGCAGCTTGTTCACATTATTGAAATCAACCGGATATTACCCAGGTGGCTTCTGAATCTGTGTGTGTGTGTGT